TTGGATGTCGTATTCCGATAGCTCGACTGCCCATGTGACAATTCGTCCTGAGACCTCCATTGAGCTCAGGATTTTCTTTAGTGGGTTTTTTGTTAAGACAGTGATCGAGTGTGCCTGAAAGTAAGGGCGTAGCTTTTGTGATGCGCTTACTAATGCCAGGGCAACCTTCTCTATTGGCGAGTACCTTATTTCCGCTCTCAACAACGTTCAAGATGTGTAATATATGGGTTGTTCTTTTTGCACATCTCTTCTAGATACTAACACTGCACTCACCACTCTAGTAGACACAGCCAAGTACAAGAACAACTTTTCATTAGGCTTAGGCGCGGTTAATACAAGGGGGGATACAAGGTACAATTCGAGCTCATTGAATGCTGCTTCACATTCTGATGTCCATGCGAATCGCACACCACTTTTCAGGGTTTAGAAGAAGGGAACACACTTGTTAGCGGACCGGGGTATGCACGTTCTAAGCGCGGCGAGTTTCCCGTTCAAGGATTGTATTTACGTCATGTTCTTAGGCAAGCGTAGCTGTTGAACCACGGTGATTTTCTTGGGATCCACTTCGATGCCACGTTTGGTTATCATGAACCCCCGAAATTTTCTTGATTCAGCGCCGATTACACCCTTCATGGGATTTAGGTGGATGCCATGTTGGCGGTGTGTCTCGAATGTCTCGCTGAGATCTTCTAGGTGTGACCGTCCTTCCTTGGTTTTAACAATGATGTTATCCAAGTAGGCCTCGATGTTTCTCCCGATCTGACGCGAGAACACTGAGTTAATCATCCGTTGATATGTGGCTCCCGCACTCTATATCCCGAAGGACACACTTACGAAGCAGAATTTGCTAAATGACGTTATGAAGGTTTTCTTTTCTTTGTCTTCGCGGCTCATCAGGATTTGGTGGTATCCCGAGAATATGTCCAAGAAGGTTAATGTTTCATGGTTGGAAGTGGCGTCAATCAGTTGGTCAATGCACGGTAGGGCCTACAGGTCTCCCTGACACACCTTGTTTATTGTCGTGTAGTCGACGCACACTCTCCATGCTCCAGACGATTTTTCTACCAAAACGACATTGGCTAGCCATGTCGGGTATTTGACCTCGCGTATTAGTCTGACGTCAAGGAGGTGAGAGACCTCTTCTTCTATGGCCTTCAACTTTTCGCCTGTGAAGCTACGTCGTTCATGTTGTCGCGGTTGTGCATCTTTGGGAACCGCAAGGCAATGTTGTGCTACTTTCCTTGGCACACCAAGAATGTCTTCGGTGCACCATGCAGATAACTCTTTCTACTTCTGTAGCAGCTTTACCAATGGTTCGACCATGTCGTCGCGTACATGAATTGAAATGCGCACTTTTTTGGTTGGTTCTTCCGAGTTCAACGCGAATTCAAAGTCCAAATCCACCGACTCTGGGCGTGGCTCCTCTGCCCGTGTGTCGATTATGTTAGTCTGGCGAGTAGTTTGTTTTGTATTCCAGGTTAGCCCGCGTGACTCTTTGGTACCTGCCTTGGTGGGAAACTTTAGTTTTTGGTGGCATGTGGACGCTAGGGCCATGAACTTGGCCAGGAATGGGTGGCCCATAATGTCGTTATGGGTGAGTTGCAGTCGACGATGGTGAATTCAACCTGCTTTGAAATGTGTGGTTCCTAGTCACCAACGACGATTGGCAGGCTGATCGCCCCTATTACCGCCACACGTGTGCTGGAGAAACCCACCAAGTTTTCTTGTGCGTGCTTGATCATGTGTGGATCGATGTCCATATGGTATAGGGTACGCTTGAACAGAATGTCCACGGTGCTCCCCCCATCTATCAACAGACGGTGAATTTTACACGCGGCCACCAAAGCAGTTATGGTGAGTGGATCCAACGACGGAATCCCTTGTGGGAATTCCGAGTCGCTGAAGCTCATGTCGCATTTGGGCATGGTATTTGTTGCCACGCACTCTACTGGGTTGTCCCGCTTTGTCTTTTTCTTCGCATTTTCTCCTCCATCGTCACAACTCATATTTCTTTGCGCACGATGTATGAATCGGTGGTCTCATTGTATGCGGGTGGTGGTGGTATAACTTCTTCTTTTTTCCGCTCTTTCGTCCCACGTACACACTCGTCTATTAACCCTCTTTGGATGAGCGCTTCGATTTCAACTCAAAGGTTAAAGTAGTCTTCCGTCATATGGCCTTTTTCTCTGGGGCAATCGAAATGCTTTTTGTGGTCGCGCATGTGGGGTGCGGCCTTGATGGGCGCTGGCCAGTTGAGACGGTAACCTTTTTCATGTATGAGGAGGAAAATGTTCTTGACTGATTCGTTGAGGGGGTGAAGGTATTGATCGGACGTCTGTCCGGAGAACCTCTGCGTAGTATGGCTCTGGCGGGGCGAGCGGCCTGCTAGCCCCGCTATGGTATTGTGCTAGTTGTGCGGCTGGCAATGAGAGTTTCCTCAGCGTGTGTTCTTCTCTTCCTTGCCTTGTCGGCTCGAAGCGTCGTATTGACCCAATGCCGAGGGTTTCTTCTAATGTGATGGCCTTCTCAATTTTGATCTCCACCTCGGAGGAGGATGCCACTCTAATGAGCGTTTTAGTTCCATGTTTGTAATGACTTCCATGAGGTGGTGAGCTGTTGTTTCAGGAGTTAAGTCTCGCACCGCCTTGGCGAAACGTGACCATCTGGCGTAGAACGCCCATAGACATTCCTCGTCCTTTTGTTTGATGTCGATTAGGGCTTTGAGGTGGAGCGGTCTTCGCTTCTGTGAAGCGAGCTTGGTTGTAAAGAGGAGTATGAACTCTTCGAAGGATTGAATAATCCCGTTTGGGAGTCGGTTATACCAATCCATGCATATGCCTACGAATATGGAGGGGAAGGTTATGCACAGAGCCGCATTCAAATTTATTTAGAGTTTCATTCGGAGGCAGAATGTGCTTACATGGTCTTCTGGGTCCGCTGTTCCGTTATACGTTGGGAGGGTGGACGCGTTTCTGGGGAGGTGTTCTGCCATAATTTCGGCGCACAGTGGTTGGTGGAGAGTCACCCTGGTTTGAGCGTGGTAGTGGGGGGATAAGTGTTGCTCCAGGAAGTTTATATATGCTTTAACTGGCGGCTCTGCTCATTGTTCACGTGGTTTAGGGATGGTCTGTCTTCCTCCGGCATAGGCGGGACGATCACCGCTGGTTGCACCGCTGTGTTGGCTTTTTTCCCCATCATGAGCGCGATGACTTGGTTCATCTTGTTCTGCATGTATGCTATGACCTCGTTCTGCTTGGCCATTTGTTGACGTACTTCATTGGCTTTTAGTTCCGCTTCTTCTTCCTCTATGAGTACCGCATTTAGGTTGCTGATTTCCGCGAACTGTCTCGGATTTGTCATTACTTTGACGGGCGTCGTCTCGTCCAGGGTGTCTGAAGTTTGTCCCGTCATTGTCGTCTTGGTTTCTGCTCTTTTTACTCGCGGCCCCATGGTAGGTGCCAATTGTTTGTGCCTAACTGAGTGTATGAGTGAGACACGTGGTTTATGGGCGTGAATAAGATGGAGAATGACCCGCCTTTATAGTTAGAACTTTGGAAGGTTACAAGTAATACGACCAAGAAAACGAGATGGGAGGGAGAGTTTCTAGAGAGAGAAGTTTCTTCCTTTTCTAGAGAGAGTAAAAAAAGAGTCCCCCTACCCACTGAGGTAAATGTTGTATTTATAGGCTACCTTCCGGTGGGTTGGTGACATGACATTTGGAATAGACAGGGGACTAGGGAATGATGAGGTCTATGAGCCAGACATGACGGTTTGTTAGTGGAATGGTGTCGTTTTAAGTTTCTTGCTCGTGGACCGTACCACTGCGCGGGCAGTGTTTCATGGCGTCTCACGTGCCGCGTTCCGCCGATGACACTTCTTGCATGGATAATACTTCTCGCGCGGGGGCGTGAATCACGTGCTCTATTTGGGTGCTCGTGGTTACTGACGCGTCATGCGGCTCTGGGCGCGCCTTGTCTTATCTTTTGCGAGGTTGCTGGCGCACCTGGGCCCGGGCCATGCCCCCGACATATACTATATTACTCAACAAAATTCTTCCGGCCAACGGGTCGGGCCCTGTGTTAGTAAAATATGTTTTTAATATTTTTTAATAAAAATAATTTATCATGGGGCGCGCAGTCGTGACAAGTCGGATTCAGGTCAAATAATTTATCATGGGGCGCGGGCCGGTGCAAGTCTACCCATATAGTGTTTTTAATATTTTTTAATAAAAATAATTTATCATGGGGCGTGCGGTCATGACAAGTCGGATTCAGGCCAAATAATTTATCATGGGGCGCGGGTCGGTGCAAGTCTACCCATATGAGTATTTAATTTAAAGAAAAAATATTAGAAATATTATTTTTATTAAAAAATATTAAAAAAACTACAACATTTATATAGTTAAATTACTCAAGAAATTGAATTTTTGACATATTTATAACTTAATTATAGCTTAAATATGAGATAATAAAAATAAAATCTTAAGTAATTTGAGTAATGTTGTATATATTGTATACAAACGGGTCGGGAATGGGGTGAGTCAAGGCAAGTCAGGTTAAGGAGAGTATCTATTAAGGTTGAGGCAAGTCAGGTTGAGGAGAGTATCCACTAAGCGAGTATTACCCGTCCCAAAACATTTTGGGTAAAACAAATAAGGTTGAAATTTACACTCCTAATATTGTCATTAATTACATGTGTCTATGTCAATAACAAGTAACAACTACTGTTGTTGACTACCATCATTAACTATCAGGGACTGGATAGGGTCTTGCTAACATATTCATTATGGGTATTATGGTAACCACCCACTCATAGGTCATAACTCTTTTTTTTTTTTTTTTTGAACGGTTGCTGGTTGTTTCATTAATACGAAACACGGTATACAGAGTTACAATAACGCTGAAAGGAAGGAACACCAACTGAACTAAAGAGACCAAAGAGTGGGCAGACAAAGGCCCGAAGCAAAAAGCCCAACCCCGATCCAAACACTTTGGACAACCCACCCTAGGTAACCCTAACCCAGCGGCCCAATCTACAAGAAGTTGGCCGCCAACTGCATTCTCCATCTCCGATCCAGCGCCGCCTTTAACCACTCTGCCCACACAGGTCCTTCGCCGGGGAGACAACGGAAGAAGCAGAGACACATCTCTAACCACCAGCGGCTCCAATTGAAGGACGATGCGCCCGCAAGAAGCAGAAAGCAACAAAATCACCGGGGAGAACCGTACCCAGAACCGGCTCCGAGCTCCACCTGAAAAAACAAGCAAACCCGAGAAGCAATCCCGACCACAGACAGATAAGAGGCGACCGATTCACCTCCGATCAGAGCAAATCGACCGAGCACCAACTCCGAATAAGATTTCCCTGCCCACAAGCTTCCTGAAATGACATCCAAGACAACAAATGGTCCATACATCTCCTATATTCATCCTCATTTATGGATGAATAATGTGGAGGTAGATGGTAGACCAGGAAGGAGCAGACGAACCGACAAATCGGCCCCCTTAACCACCTACCAAGGGAGCATCCACACAGATCTGGAAACCAGTCAGGTGGGGAACAAAAGCGTCTCACAAGGAGACTGGAAAAACATCCGCTAGGGTGGAAGAGGCGACGAAAGAGAGGAAAAAACCACAATGCAAGGAAAGAAAATGACCAAGAGCATCAGGAAGGAAAACAACAACCAACGACAGAGAGGGAAATGGGACAAAAAAGGAAGCAGGGGAAAAGATCAACAGAAAGAAAAAAAGAGGAAAGGGCCGCCCCGGTCGCCGGAAACGGCGCCGGTGACAGCCCTGGAGATCCTTGAAAGAAGAAGCTCATAACAGCTCCCTATCCCCTTTCTATGTCCACTATGTTTGGATTTCATAAGCAAATTATATTTTGGTATCTCAACTTAATCGATGTTTAGATTTAGTACCTAAACTTAATAGATATTAAGATTTAGTACCTTAACTTATTTTTATTCCATATAAATCCTAAAATATTGATGGAAACTTATATTTTAATACTTAAAAATTTTATGTCCTACATTTTTATACCTAAATTTCTAAAAATTTGCAAGTAGGTTTCTGGTCGGCTTGTGATATGCTTTATGAGTTTCTAGTCGGCTTTAAGAAACTTGTTGCATGCCTAATGAGGTTTTTGGTATGCTCTAAGAAACCTATGATATGTTTTATGAGGTTTCTGGTCTGCATTAAGAAACTTGTGTTGTGCTTTAATAACTTGTGATGTGTTTTATAAGATATCTGGTATGCTTAAACAATCTTGTGGCATGTTTTAATGAACTTGTGGTATGCTTTAAGAAATTTGTGGGTGCTTTAATAGACTTGTGGTATGCTTTATGAGGTTTATGATATGTTTCAAGAGACGTGTGAGTCTTTTTTTTTTTTTTTGTAGAAATGTGCTTTAAGAAATTTGTGGTATGCTTTGATAAACTTGTGATCTGCTTTATGTAGTTTATGTTGTGTGCTTTAATGAAATTGTGGTATGCTTTTATGAGGTTTCTGCTATGTTTCAGAGAACTTGTGATATGCTTTGTTTTAATAAACTGGTGGTATGCTTAATGAGGTTTCTGATATGCTTCAGAAAAATTATGATCTTTGACAAATTTATGGTTCCATTTGCAAATTAGAGTTTAATACCTAAACTTAATATATTTCAAGATTTAGTATCAAAAGTTACTTTATTTTTTTGCATATAGTCCTAGAAATACTAATGAAAATACATTTTAGCATATACAACTTTTATTTATTAAATTGCGATAACTAAACTTTTTAAAATTTACTAATAGGTCTCCAACTGTGTGCCCTCTAATTTTTTATATTGAAAAGCATGCACATATCTTTATTATTTTTTGTCAACCCCTTCAAATAAAATAGTCATCAAAATGAATTTTTTTTATTGGTTAGAATTAGTATTAACATCCTTATATTTGCCATGACTATCACTGACAAATATGTTTGATTACAACTACAAGTGTTAATTGCACAGGTTAACCTCAATGCTGGATTGGTCCTCTTCATTTCGACTATTCAATAGATTCTTTCTCTGACCTCAAAGAGTGAAGAAAATAATTTTCATATAAAGTTCTTATATGTCCTAATGTCTTCCTTGTGTGTCCTCTACCTTTTCTAGGTTCTTGAATAGGTAGCTTGAACAAGTGTGCTAATTCTATAATTTGTCTACTAACCGACAGCCACATCAATCACACCTATCAAAGCAATTAGCAGAGTTATTGAAATGAATTCAAATGGAAGATAAAAATTAGTTGACAAATTAATTTCAATGTGTTGACGAGAATCCATAAAGTGTTCACCTTTGGAATGCGTCAGAGGCATAGGTAACCTGACTGACGGTTTCATTCATTTATCGAGCATATCAACCACAAATAAAACACCTAATTTGATTGTCAATAACAAATTAAATCATCATCAATAATCGCAAAATATGACAAAACTACTTAGTAAAACTCAAACTGAAACAAGCTCAACATAATAAAATAAAATTTATTCAAACATTATTAATGGTTAACTATCCACAATTCCACATATCTCTTAAGGCTTAATTGTAAGTTTGGTCACTCGAATTGCTATAAAATTTCATGTTTGCCACTCGAATTAATTTATTCCATTTATAGTCACTCGAATTAGTTGAACAGTCCAAGTTCGGTCACTCTCCGTTAGACTCCGTTAATGACGACCGTTAAATGATGACGTGGCTAACAGAAAATCACAGTCAGCATAATTTAACACTAAAAAACGACGACCGACCCGCCACGTCATATTTACCCGCCATGTCAGCCCTTCTTACCAAACCCGCGAACCAACCCAATTAATTGACCAAAACCCAAACCTAAGACCCAACCCACCTGAAAAATAAATCGAAACGGAAAGGGTAGGAGCGTCAGACGTTTACTGCAACTCCGACGATGCTTTCCTCTGCTTCCATTGCGACGCCAGAGTTCACAACGCCAACTTCCTCGTCTCCCGCCACCTCCGCCTCTTGCTCTGTCGGAACTGTCGCTGCCTCACCCAGAACTCCTTTTTCAGACCCAGATCCCTTCCTCACTCCGCCGCATGCGCCTCCTGCTCCTCGTCGGAGGTGGAGAGTGTTTCTTCGGAGCAAGAGATGGACTCGATCTCCTGCTGCTCGTCCTCCAATCCGTCCAAATCGGGGACCTCCACTGCGAATACGGTGGACCAGCAGCAGAGAGTGAGTAGCAACAACACGACGCCGAGATCTGGAGCCTGCGAGGGGAAGATCGGGGCCGTTTTCACGAATTGGTGCAGGAAGGTGGGTGTGGAGGCGGATCTGGTGGAGCCGAGGGTGGTCTAGGCAATGGGAATGTTGAGCGCGGGGCGGATCGGGAGAGCGCTGCCGCTGCAGCTGAGCTTGGCGGAGGTTGGGTCTAATTATTTTTCAGGGGGGAGGGAAAAGTGCCCTACCCTTTCCGTTTTGATTTATTTTTCAGGGGGGTTGGGTCTCGGGTTTGGGTCAATTAATTGGGTTGGTTCGCAGGCTGGGCAAGAAGGGCTGACGTGGAGGGTAAATATGACGTGGCGGATCGGGTCGTCGTTCTTTAGTGTTAAATTATGCTGACTGTGATTTTCTGTTAGCCACGTCATCACTTAACGGTCGTCATTAACGGAGTCTAACGGAGAGTGACCGAACTTGGACTGTTCAACTAATTCGAGTGACTATAAATAGAATAAATTAATTCGAGTGGCAAATGTGAAATTTTATAGCAATTCGAGTGACCAAACTTGCAATTAAGCCTCTCTCTTAATAACAAATCGCACGGCTGAACGCGCCTAGATTAGGGGAGCAGATCGGGTGAGTAACTGATGGGTGAGTAACCCATCAGTAACCCCCTCTCCTCTCTCCACGTGTCAGTTACTTTTTTATTTAAATTAAATGCTAAAGGGTAGTAAGGTAAATTACAATTATTCCCTCTTCATTGCTGACACGGACTTTTGACCGACCACATCAGGACCTCCTTCTCTTTCCTAGAAAAACCTTTAATTTTCCTTCCCTTAATCTTTAACGGACGATTTCTCACTCGTTTTAAGTCGAAATTTAATTTTTTTGCACAGTTAGATCAAATTAATTATGCTCTTCAAAATGATATCCACTTTGATATTGTTTTGACACAAAATAAAATTCCAGTTATTACCAGTCTATACCATATGGTATCGACTATACCATAATATCATATGATATTGACTGGTATTAAATAAGAGCATACCATATGGTATGAATTTGCCACATCAATATATATTTCGTTACCACCCAATACCATATGGTATAGTGTGGTAATATCAATATATATTTCGTTACCACCCAATACCATATGGTATAGTGTGGTAATATCAATATATATTTCGTTACCACCCAATACCATATGGTATAGTGTGGTAATATCAATATATATTTCGTTACCACCCAATACCATATGGTATAGTGTGGTAATATCAATATATACTTCATTACCACCCAATACCATATGGTATAGTGTAGTAATATCACACAATACCATATGGTATAGAGTGGTAATATCAATATATATTTCGTTACCACACAATACCATATGGTATAGAGTGGTAATATCAATATATATTTCGTTACCACGCAATACCATAAATTATCATAGGGTATAGTGTGGTAATATCAATATATATTTCGTTACCACCCAATACCATATGGTATAGAGTCATAATATCAATATATATTATCTAAAAGGAAAAAAAAGAAGGAGGGAGAGAAAAAAAATCGTCTTCTGATGCCTCTCATTTCCTCTTCCCCAATCAAGAACACCAAAATGCCAAAAAAATGAGAAAGATCGGAATTGAGTCCAACGAGTTGATGAAGAGAAGAAATGCAATAAAAGAGAGTGACTACAATTTTTATGCTAGAGAAAAAAATGAAGAAGAAAGATAGCAGATCTAGATTTGAAAATGAGATTGTGAGAGAAAAAGTAAGAGAGAAGAAATAGAGAAAGAGAAAGGATATGGAAAGAGATTGTAAAAAAGGAAGAGAGAGGAAGAAAGTTGAGACAAGACTTCTCTCTCTTTCATTGAAAAAGCCAGCATTGAAATGCGGAATAAATAAAAAAGTAAAAATACAAAAACGGACAAAAATGCCCCTCAACACCCCCCATCCAGCCCAGCCACACGATTGCTCCATCCTCAAATCTACGGTCCGCGTGTGATTACTGATAGGTCAGTAACCAGCGGTAACTGACCCTATCTTGGGCCAAGATTAGTCGACATTGAGTGAGAGAAAAAGCAGCTGGGCCAATTCAGAAACAGACAAACGACAAATAGCTGCTGCTGAACGACATGTGACGTCAGCTTCCCAGCGCAGCGCAGCCCGGCCCATTCCCCATTTTCTCATCAACTTGGAAGTTGGAACAAAAACAAATATTATTCTTCTGATGTCGATATCTTGGGATTACGATTTTTAAGCACGTGAACCAATTCAGCACCTTCGAAGAAAACACCTTCGCCAAAGATGTCCCTATACTGCTTTATTTTATTTCCAACTTGGGTCTGTAACTGTTACGCAAATGGTCACTAAATTTTGTACTAACTAACAAATCAGTTTATGAACATAACTACATAACAATATTTTGTTTACGTCGTCTATTAGTGTGACAAAATTAATAATCATAAAAAAAACGTGTGGATTGTAGTTAAATGACATATACAGTATATTTTACCTCAAAGTTCATGTGAAACCAAGCACGCTACTCTAACTGATTCCAATCCACGTTACTTGAAAGTGAAACTGATGTTATTCGTTCCTCCGAAATTAATTGCTAATTAGAGAGTCCGTGCAACTCTTACTTTGATTACGAGTGATCCTTAACTGAAGCTAAGGTGGCCGGCAAGTGTTTAAAGACGTATAAATATAATCTCGTTAGTACCCCTCCTAGTGGTAGGTGGTATATTTCATAATGATGACAATTAACATTTGAACATAGGTTCTTCAATTACCTTTATCATTGGGCCACAAAATTGATGATGAATTGCCAAATCGGACAATTTAAGCAACAAAACTTGACGCTAGTTGATATTATGATTCTGTTATAAGTTATTTCGAAGTTAAAAAACAAAGTTTAGCTTCCTGAATTGTAGTTTAGTGATCAATTACGTAATTGTGATTATTTTCAACTGTCAACATAAAAAAATATATCGACCATTAAAATCCAACCAATGAAATCTTTTTTCTTTTTAATTAGGGTTAATACTTTATTTTGACCTGAACTATAATCATATAATCAATTTTGGCTCGTGATTTCATAAATTAACATACTGACCTCAACTATGCAACATATAGATTCAATTGGCCCGACACATGGTTTGACCATCAATTTGGACGGTCAACATGTCATGTCATTGCCTTGTCAGTCTAAAAATCATTAAAAATTTTAAATTTAATTTTTTTTACTAATTTCTATTATTTCTCATTATCAAATTAACCAAAAAATAAAAATATTTTTTTATTTTTTGGGTAATTTGAAAATGATAAATTTTATAAATTAAACAGAAGTATCAAATTATTTTAAATTTTTAAATATAATTTTTGGCTACTTTGAAAATGATAAATAATAGAAATTAGGAAAATAATTTAAATTTAAAATTTTTAAATAATTTTTAAGCTGATGAGGCAATGACATGACGTGTTGACTAACGATCATTGATGTTGACGGACAAATCATGTGTGTGACCAATTGAATCTATATGCAGCATAATTGAGGCAAGTATGTTAATTTATGAAACCACAAATCAAAATTATTATATGGTCATTGTTCGGAGTTATTAAACCTTTTAATTATTTTAATTATTTGATGGAAGAGAAATAAAGAAATGTTTCCCCCTCCCCTTTCCCCCTGGTTCACGAACCCGTCTCCCTATATAAACTCCAACCTTTCCCCATTTCTCATACTTAAACCGAAAAGCAAACCACAGAGAGATCCAAAACGGATAACCCAATAATTCGATTTTGAACAAGTTCAACTGAAACCCAAAAAAAATGCAAGGGGAGATGGTAGCTACAGAGTCCGATTATGCACTTCTCGAATCGATTCGCCGACACTTGCTCGGTGAACCAATCCCCACCACCTCTACTTTTTCCTCCAGCCCCGCCTACCGCCGGCTCCCTAGTTTCGGCACCGTGTACCCTTGTTTGACGGAGAATTGGGGCGAATTACCCCTGAAGATGGACGATTCGGAAGACATGCTGCTTTTCGGCGTTCCTCGTGACGCCTTCCACGACGGGTGGGTCGTCCCGAATTCGGATTTCTCGCCGACGGCGGAGGTGACGGCGACCCTTCCACCGGTGAAATTGGAGCCGCCGCCGACACCGGCGGTGGTGCCGCCGAAGGGGAAGCACTACAGGGGAGTGAGGCAGAGGCCTTGGGGGAAGTTCGCGGCCGAGATCCGCGACCCGGCCAAAAACGGGGCGCGGGTCTGGTTGGGTACTTTCGAGACGGCCGAGGATGCGGCTCTGGCTTACGACAGAGCCGCGTACCGGATGCGGGGCTCCAGGGCGCTGCTGAATTTCCCCTTGAGGGTGAATTCGGGTGAGCCCGACCCGGTTCGAATTACGTCGAAGCGCTCGTCGCCCGAGCCATCATCGTCGTCCGGGTCGGATAGCGGGTCGCCGAAGACTAATAAGAGGAGGAAAAAGGGCGGCGTTGTTAACGGGTCGGGTGACGGGGCTCTGGTTTCTGTTGCTACGCAAGTGCCTGTCCAGGTCGGGTCGGATATGGGTAATGCCGGTGGTTTTGGATATCAAGTGACAGTCTGCACACGTGGCGGGCAGCTATTGGCTGCCTGATCACATTCGGCATTTTTTCATGCGTTGCAATTTGTTTGAAAGGAGAAAAAAATGGGGAAAATGGTTCAAAAAAAACACAGGAAATGGAGAAAACGGGTTTAATATTTACAAAAAGGAAGGAAACCTGTAATTTGACGACATTTTTGGATGGTTACCGTTAGAGTACGTTTCTCTTTGTTGTTTTTGTAGAAATTAGATAAAGTCTTGAGAGGTATATTGCCAATTGCAATGTGAATACTGTTATCAGATTTCAGTTTTCACTTTCTTTCCTAAAATGGGAAGGCTTTGTGTCTATGCTTGTTGTTATGGGGATGTACTGGTTCTTAAAATACATAATTTATGATCTCATAATGTTCCAACACATTTTGATGTTTTGATAATGATTGTGTAATTCTATTGGAGGTTATATCAGAAAAATATATGGTATAAAATTTTGTACCGAAATTGTGGTTCCATTGTAATTTAATCGTTTCATATACCGAAAATTGTATATCGATTTGGGGTCTGATACACAATATTCTTGATTCGACCGGGCGGTAAGTTACGATTTCTAAACAATGATTTCCATGCACTCATTTTATGATAAGGAAAAAATAGGAGGAAACAATTTCATATTATAGAGGAGCTACTTTAAGCCACAAAAGGTTAGATTAGGAGGTACAACCCTTAGTGTCATATGCTCAACAACAAGCATTTAAAATTAGCTAGATGATAGACTATCAACTTCAATTAAATTTAACATATTAGATGAATCGCACATCGATAAAAAACGAGAGAGATCTGTGGTTCATGAGTAAAAAACCGATCTTAATTGTCAATACGCGTTTTGGGTTGAAATGGAAGAGTTCTTGTGAGAACTCCGAAGTTAAACGTGCTGACTATGGAGCACCGCAAGAATGTGTGGCCTTATGGAAAGTCACCTTGACATGCACCCCAAGACCAAAACCGTGAGGGTCTGGACCCAAAGTGAACAATATCTTATCGGAGATAGGTTCGGAATGTTGCATTAAATGTTCAACAAACTATCAATCTCAAATAATCGTTGTAACTTTTTTTAGATATGTAACTAGAGGCGGCAATTCTCAATCCAATCCACCAATCCAATTCATCAATCCATTAAAAATATCCAACTAATTAATCCAATCCATTTGATCCAAATCCAATTAGATTGGTGGATTCATGGATTGGATCCATGGATCAATGGCAATTACAATTTAGTACCTATAATTTTTATTTTTTACATTTTGGTACCTAAAATTTAATTTTTATAGAAAATATCATTGGAAAATAATATTTTGGTATCTAAAAGTTTTCATTATGACATTTTAGTACCTAAACTTGTTGCATTTTACATATTGGTCCTTGGTTAAGGATGTCATTTGGATTCATAGATAATCCACCAATCCACTTGATCCAATCCATGAATCTATCAATCCGTTGCATCCAATCCACCAATCCAATCCATTTGCCACCTCTACATGTAATCAATACTCCGTCTTTGAATACCCCAATTTTATGGTGGAAATTAAAAGAATAACAGCTACCATAAACAATTTTGTCAAGCTAGTTGATATTTTGTACAGATTCTTGTTGATCACTACAAGAGAATATACATATAATAGGGCTTTAGTAGCAGGGGTTCCTATAACCCTTGCCCGAATTATAATTTTTTGGCTTAACAGCAGTCGAATCCAGCGGTTAAAAAAACCGCTGAATATTTTTAATTAAAAAATCCGGTTAAAAACAGCTCATCTATCAAAAGAAAGAAAAGACAAAAAAGAAAGGTATTCTAGTCTCTTCCGCTCTGTTCTCCCGTAAAACAAATCCCTAACCCTAACAAATCCCTCGCCTACTTTGATCTCCCCACCGACTTTGGCGATCCCTCTGCCGCCTCTATGATAGTCAGAAGCGGCGGCACCTTCGATCATGGAGAAATTTTCGTATTCGCCTCAATTTAAGCGGCATTTCCTCTAACCTTCTACTCTACTGATTTTCTCTCGATATTCGTCTCAATTCATGCTTCGGTTGCTGCAGCTCTGATTGATCTTACACCAGCTATCTTATCAATGGCCCAACGCTCGCCACCCTCGCTTTCTCATGCTGTTTGTGCTATGAGTAAGCTTAACTACTCAGGGGAGGTTCACTGACACCCAGATCGGTATTTTACGAACCTCTCCACCTCAAGCATAATCTTCTTATCATTACATGGATAACGATGGATGAAACTGAGCAATATTCCTTTCCCATTTTATTTTTCAAATATATTACATAGTGGTGCTTGGAGATGGAATTGGAGCGGGCATGCAGTGGTTGGGGGAAGGCAACGAGCAAAGGTACAGGAGCACCAGTGATCAATTATGTGATTGATTGGTTATTTTACTTCCTTCCCTGTATCTGGTTGTGCTTTTCTTTCATTTAGTACGTTGAAAGAGGTGCCGTTTACTTCATTTAGTACATTTCAAGGGGTATTGGCTGCAACTGAGAAAGAATATTTGGTTTTCCCCTCCAAGAAAGACGAAATTGCACAATCTTAATTCTAACGAAGAAATTAATACGCTAGAATTTCTACTTTTCCTGTGGAATTTTATGTTAGGCGATGTGAATTCAATGCCATGGAATTGAGATTCTGTTTTTATTTTCCACCACGAGCTCCTAATTGACTATAGAATTCGGACAATGATTTGTTTGTCACTAACATCTCATTGGTTAGTTATTCAAACCTACATACCTTCTATGAAACAAGTAAACATGTACAAGAGTCCAAGTAGAAAGTGATATGACTACCATTAACCACACTAGCACAGGGTCCGGCCCGTTCGCCAGAAGAATTTTGTCGAGAAATATGATATATAATAATGGATATAATAGATAATTTGAAATGTATGAAATGATTGTTTTCTACTTTAGTTATGCACATAACATTTATGAAAGTGATCGAACTATGCATAATATGTTTAGACTTTAGACCTCCATGAAAAGAGAAAAAATATAATATAAGCATTACATATAACTATTGAATGAAAAAAAATATATATAACTAATTGTCTTTCAATACTTAATTAAACCATACAGTTGAATATTAGAGTTGCTTCTCATAATTCATACATAATCAAACTTTAGGATAAAAGAAAATGTCTCATAGAATTTATTATGTCCTTTAAGTTTTTTTCCAATAGAGAGCATTCTTTTTTACCACACTGTTGGTAATGAATATGAAGTTGCTTGATTTGAAATATATATGACATGACACTAAGTTGTCACTAATAGTTAGTTGGACAATGTGTTGTGTACGGACTTCCCAAATTATTCTCAAATCGTAGACATGTCTAACAACAAAGTAGTAATTTTCATGTAGCAAATATTTTTTTTCATGAAATAATTCAATAAATAAAAACGTATGAAAATAATATTACTTGAAATATATGTTACTCATTAAGTTGATGAATGAGGGAGGGTATGAGTAGCATACATTTATTTTAAAAAGATAGAAGTTGCAAAGTGTCTTTGGGGTTGCATGAGATCGCACATTCTCATTATCGCTAACTGATTTATGTTTTTTTGCAATAGATAGTTCAAAATGTGCCTTAAAACTTGTGTTTCCACCAGTGTAATTTTTTTTTGAACCAAAGGATTCTAAAATCGTATCGAAAAAGTTGGTAGTAGAGTATTTTATACTGAAGTCATAATTTAACTGTGGTTCAATCGTTTCATATTGCTAATATTATCACCTATCGATTTAACCTATGATGTGAAGTTTTATGGTCTAACCGCTGGTACGTACAATCTTTCAGTACAAACTTTAAATAAAAAACCACTAAAATATTGACATTATCAAATACCCCTTAAATATAAGAAATTACAATAATAGTATTAAGAAAAATCTTCCAAATGATAGTATTGATTTAGTATTTTAAATTGAAATGGAAAAATATGTCAAATATAATATCATCTCCTAAAATAAATCAAAATTTAACAGAATAGGGCCAAGAATATCCACTAATCAAAGAAGAATGACAATTATTTCACACTACCTAATTTTCAACCTCTTTTAAATGTCCTCTCACTCTCTCTTTGCATTCCTCTTTGTTTTTCCATTTGTTTTTCCATCTCTCTCTCTCAGCTTTGTATCTCACAACTCACCCCCTTTTCCCTTCCTCTTTCTTCCCACCGCTTGAAATCGAGAGAAACCTATAAACATCCCAATTACTTCTCCAATTTTGCGTTTGAAATGCTTCTTCTTGATTCACAATCAATAGTGTGAATCAGAGCACCTGAAACCTGGCGAATGATGGTCGCTTATTCATTGACGGAGCAAAGTAGCTAGATAGCTTGTGAATAAACTAATTATTAAAAGTGATAAAAAGCAGAACTCGTTAAACCAATCGAGTGAGTGTATAGTTAGCTCGTCGCTTAAAGCCTTAAACCATTGTATTTATCTAAAGAATCAAAATGCATAATCAGGTTCATCTTCACTTTACATGTATTTGTCGTATAAATTCATTACACATAAAAAAAGGTTTTGAACAGAAGCCATATTAAACATAAAAAAGGCTATTGGTCAACCGGACTAAAAATTAATACTAATTTAAGAATTATATACCGCTTCCAAAATGTTCAATACTCCAATTCAATATGCAATATTCAATATTCAATATTCAAAGAAATTATATATGAGTTTCAGCCCTTCCTCAAATTTTTTAGACACCCCCCACATTTGCAAAGAAATACTAAATTCCAATTTCTTTTTCACTTTACTTGCTTCTAAAGTTATTGTTGACGTTGTTTGTTATTACTGCAAGCTGTAAAAAAGACTTTTCAGCTATGAAGTTAATTAAGAATGAATTTATAAATGAATTTTTAGTTGTATACATTGAAAAAGGTTTGAATCTCAAAATAAACAATGAATGTATTTTATAAACCTATTAGAATATGAGCCGTCACACGTTGATGTGAGAAACTACTAATTAATTCAAATTTTATATGTTATTTTTAGAATATTTTGTTTTATTTTTTATCAAATGACGCATTTCTCCATGAAACATGTGTTCACCAATATAGGCTGTGTGGTACTCGCACTTGTGCGTGAGCCCTTTGAAGTTTAAGTCTGGTACGACCCATGAAGCATTCATGCTTAAACATGGTCGATCCATATACATTGTCTTCATGGTATGCTCTAACCGTGTCGTGCTAGCTCGACCATTTGCCTAGGTATAGTTATATGCATTATAATAATTAAGTTTCTACCAATTCACAACACCAATATAAAAACAGTCATAAATGCACTCATTATACGATTTTGACTACCTAATGAAATACTACATTTGAATAAATTACAAATGATGTCACAAAAAATAATTATACCTCAAAATCATACATAAAATATTTCAAACATCGCAAATATTAAGATTAAATTAATTATTATAAAGAGTAAAAATTGTATAATGAGGTTAATTATAACTCATTTATATGTTCATGCCCTAAAAATTGATCAACACATCCGATCCAAAACTAACAAAATGAACATCACATTAAACTCGACATCGTCTCATTATTGTCGGGTCCATTCATGCCCGATTAGCAAGAGTTTAACGCTTAGCAATTAACCAGGCTAAAATTTTAGAGAACCAGTCACCTATAGTTTGTACAAAATATTATTGTTTCGTATTAGTTCTGAAAATTCATATTAATTTAAAGAATTTTACATCGCTTTTGCATATTCAATACTGCAGTTCGATATGCAATATTTAAAGCAATAAAATTTATGTTGCAATTTCAAGATTACGCATCATTTTATAGGTTATAAAAATTATAAATCACATATTAAACTTTGGTTTTCAGAAGATTTAATAAGCTAGCTAACAGTGAAAATGTCTCCTGCTTTTCAAATCTTCACCTAGTGCATGTTTACAATTTCTGAAGATAAAACAGATTTGTTTAGTGTAATTGGTTGTAATTATTGGACGTAAGGTTTATAAACTTCTTGATAAAGTTTATTATTTGTTTTTATTGTTGTTACACCATCAACTTTTATTGGTTCATTGTTATCAATCCAAGGTACTGCTATTGACTTTTTTGTTATGAATTTTCAACGATATACAAAAACGTTATCATCGTCTCCTAAATCATTTTTTTTATTTGTTACTGGGTTTAGGCTCATTGTTAACAATCTAATGTAATGTTATCATCGTTGATGTAATATAAATTTGGGCTAATACCACTACAACACCCGAACTATGACAAAAATGTCACTTGTGTCCTATTCTTTCAAATATTCCATTTATGTCCTGAACTATTTTTTCCGTTAGAGTTGACCGTTAATTTTAACAGAAATTATAGTTAGCGCTGACGTGGCAGATGACATGGAATTTTAAATTAATAACATTTTAAAATAAAAAAAGAAGCAAAATTTTGGGCCACTTCCGACCTCACCCTCCTCCCACATTCTCTCTCCCTCCCTGCTCACCTCCGCCTCTCCGCGACTCCGCCTCCCAACTCGCCGACTCTGCGAAGTCGCCACCATCTCCCAGTACTCCGCTCTCCTCGCAACCAGTTGCTCCAATCACCCCTCTCATTCGAAAAAAACCCCTGCCTCATTCGACAAAAAACCCTGCCTCCACCACTGCTCTGAATCGGAACTTCCATGGTCGATTTCAGAGGAGCCCTAAATCGACCAGCCATGGCCCTAGCTTCCCCCATCCAAATCCGTCTCTCTTCCGCCCTTCACCCATCGATTGATAACTTCATCTTGCCCCGATGTTGGGTCGGCGGGCTAGGGCAATTTGGAGGGCCAGGTCGGCGGGATCGAGCAATTTGGAGGGGAATCAAATCTAGCAGGGGAAGATTGCATCGTCGGTGTCTCATGGCATCGCCGACCGTTGTTCGCGATCCCTAGTCGTCGTTTGCGTCCCTATCCATCATCGTCCCTCTCTCCTCTCCCATCTTTCGGCCGCCGAAGTTGTTCCACTGGTTGTATGAGAATCAGAGCTTCGTCGTCTTCCAGATGGAGGGGTTGAGGAAGCGAGGTCACTGGAAGAGTAGCTTGTCGTGGGGGAAGGCGGCAGAGAGATATCGTTGCCATAGATGCTGATTTGCGGAACGGATTTGAAGGCGGCGACAACGATGGTTAGAATTGAGGGCGGGGTAGGGTGGGGAGCGGGTTGAAGGCGACGGTGGGTAGAAGGTTATTTTAATTTTTTATTTTTAATTATTTTGCATTTTAATTTGATTTTGAATTAAATAATATATGTGGTATGATGTGGCATCTATGTGGATGCCACGTTTCCTTCCATGTCAGCAAAAGTCAACATCTCTTTGACCACCGTCAGGTCAACCGTTAG